AATGATACACCACATACTGTAGAGCATGTGATTGAGTATAAACATAGAGTACAAAAAAAAAAAAAGTATAAAAGATTCCCTGCATCTTTTAAAACATTTCTTGACACTACTGTGGCATTTATAACCCGGAGAAACTAAAAATAATCAAACATGGCTTTTTTTTTTTTTTTTTACAAGTGTGAAAGAACAACACAGGAAACAAAGAGCAGCGATAATTAATACTTAAAGCATCAGCTAACAATGCATTGGAGAAAGGGCACTATATTTTAAAGGACTAAACCAAGTGCTTAGAATTGTCTTGTTCACACCTGTGGAAGTGTTCACATACAACATTTCTATTTAGTAGATACTGTGAATACCTTTGAGCGCCCCTGGAAGTCTGAGGTTCAAAGGCTGACCATCAAACCAGTACTAGTATCTAACCGCCAAATACTAAGCAGGTGATAGTACACCAAAACTAGTGTCCTATACACACAAAGAGAGTGTGTGATCACAAAGAGAGTTAAACTACTTTTCAATAACTTTTATAAGAAACTGGAGAGTTCTCATTAAAATTCCCTTTCTTTTCCTCACGTTTGTGTGTTCTAGGCACATTAAAATTAAGCCAGAGGCCCTGGGTTTTTTTCCCCTTTTTATAAATAGATTACGAGAATATTTATTTTGGAGAAAATTGATGGATTAATTACATGGTCTTTAGAAATCTACTTACAAAACAGCAAGCAATGGTCTTATCTAAAGAAAGAACAATTTTTAAGACGGCAACAGCAACTTACAGGATATATTAAAAATACATTCAATACAATATTATTGTTCAGAAAATACTAAACGATTAGTTTACTTACATAATGATTCTTCTGTTCAGGAACCAGTATTTTCGTCTATGCCTGTCATATCCAATAGGTTCATGTCGAATATATGGTTTATTTTTTTGGATTTCAGCAACACAGTCAGTTACTCCAGGCACCTTATGTGCTACGCAGACCTCGCACTGCCATTCATCTTCTGGTACCTCTTCAAGAGGTGGTTTCACACACTCCAAATGGTACACAGCTGAACAAGTTTCACAGCAAAGCAAATCCCCAAGTTTGTGACAAACCCTACAATGATCATCATACTGAATAACACCTTCTGACATTAACTCTTCACGTGCAATGTTTGTTGTAAGAAACTGATCCACTAAGAACTGCAGAACTTTGATTTTATTCTCTACTGGTCCATAAGGATAGTCCTCTGTCTCTTGGTAAGGAAGAACATGATGGTATTCCTTGTCACTCTCACAATATACCCGCAGAACCTCTGGCCACGTCATTCCATCTATGAAATACAAAGTGGAATTAACGCTATCTTTGAGGTCAGCAGGTCCAAAGGTAGTATTTGAAGTGTCTTCTTCACGTAAAACTGCTTTTAAAAGCACTATATGCATCTCTGCCATAAGTGTGCACTGCTCTTGACTTACCAGAGCAGCACAGAAGTCCTCAAAACGAAAAGGAGAGAGGCGTAAAACAGTGCCAAAGTTCCTTAGTACCTCATAGATGGCAATAACATTCATTATATGCTCACTAGGCACCATTAAGTCCTCTGAGGATTTAGGAAACTCCAAGGGCGGGATATCTTTTTCTTCCAATATTGGAGAACGAGGACGATGCACTCTTTGTCTTCTCCTACCTGGAATAAAAAACAACAATAAGAATTTTGCCATTCACAGGTCAACATGTTTAAACATCTAGCAGCAATGGCTGTGTCAAACTTTCTAAACTATTGCAAATTAAGGATTCACATCTTCACAGTTACATAAATGTGATAATCCAGCTAATAATCTTATACTTTAATTAACAGTATGAAAATAAAATACACAAGGTATCAAGTTTTGCTTTAGACACTTAGAGCAGTTGCGTTTCCCATATAATAATACGTCTACTGAATCTTAAAAATTACTTCTAGAATTTTAATTGTTTAAATTAAAGACATTTCCCTCGGCCAAAATATTGTTTTAGAATTTTTTTCTCATTTTTATTCAGCATGACTAGTTTATCATTTCTTCTTGGAATTTTAACTTCAAACTTGAAGACTCAAGCTTCAAACAACAGATATTTTGTATTAAAATATTGCAAGCTATCCAGCAATAGTATACGGGAAAGATCATTTCAAGCAGATGTCTGAGGACATCAATTTCAACAAAATTAAAATACAAAAGAGAACCTAAATCACTTTGTCCACTGCTTTCTAACTAGAATATTTCTCCTGGATACCTACAAGCCAGAAACAAAAGCTAAATGTGATATTTTATGAAAATGCTTCAGGAACTCCCAATTTAAAAAAACTAAAACCAGAAAACCAAACACCCCCGTGCTTCAATAAAACAGGAGAGAACCACAGAATGAGAAGGCAGTAGAATTACGGAAGGAGAAAGCCTAACACAAAAAGCTAATCTGAAAAGCTGTTTCACTACCTAAAAGAAAAGACACCAATCGTACTTAATTCAGATGAGATGCTACACTTTCTTCCCTTTAATTCCACTATCCTTGACGCCAAGCAGAAGGAAAAACAAAAGAAGAAGTTTTCTGTACATGGCAGTACTAGACAGATGAAATATTTCAATCTTCTATTAAAATAACAAAAAAGTATCCAGCTACATGCAAGTATTTTGCACCTATCAGTTACGGTATTAGGATGCATTCATTAAACCTACTTCCTTAATCTAGTTTAGACAATCTCATAAACTAATCATAAACCCATCATCTTGGTTTAAAACCAAGAACTGAGATGAAAACTGTTTTTAGGTCCTCTGGTAAGCATACTAAGATTCTGGTCAACAACTAAATTTAATAATTATCAATTCTACACAGAGAAGTGGTCGGCAGGATGCATTTTGTTCACAGAGAAAATCCAAAGGAAAAATGAAGTTATCGATAACAGCAATCGCATATGCACACCTTAAACCCACTCTGCTCCCTCCAATCCTCCCATAAATACAGGGAGTAAGTCTAACAGGGAGTGGGGAGGAAAAAAAAAGACCTGCTAAGGCAGGCAGATACCCAAAGACAGATCCTGCTGAATCTGAAAACACCATTATTAAAACTTAAACGCATTGAAAAGTTACCAAAAAGAAAAGCTACCCTTAAGAAACATCTTGATGCATAATAGACAGTTTGCCAAATGATTCCAGAAGAAAAATAAATCAATCATTGAGCTAGTATGGCAAGATGACACCAGATACCTCTCTCCCTCTCAAACTTTAAGGAATGAGATCTTATGCAACAAATTAGACACTCTGAAACAATATAGAAGATGAACTGCCAGATGTTTCCATTACAGAAGTAATGGGTCAACATCATCTGCGTATAAAAATAAATTTCCAAGTTTAGTTAAGTTTGAGTTCTGACTGTGGAAAATGAAAGAATGCTTGTATGACTGTCTTCCAATATGCTGCTGCACAAATCAGTGGAAAATGTTTAATCATGGCAAACACACAAAAACACCGGAGTTTCACAGCCAGGCACAAAGCAAGCGTTCTTAGAGCAAGAAATATCTAGATTAAACCCAACTTTTCTATCATCATAATCCAAAAATCATATACGCATAAACCAGAGTTGGTTTAATTAAAAGACCCCAAAGGAAAACCACACACACACACGTGCACGCTCACAGATTAGATTACTTTAGAGTCCTGAAGCTTCCTTCAATATTGCAGGAGGGTGTAGGACCAGTCCTAGCAGGTGGTCACGCACGACAACAACAACACAGAACAGATATCCTGAAATCACTAATGGGCTTCACAGAGTCCAAATATCACAAAAAGCTGGCAGAGCTACAAACTAGGATTCTTTTCAGTGTTTGCAACTGTAGCAGAAAAACGTGTCTGTCACACAGTAAAGCCATAAAAGAAACAGCCCTTCAAGCAGCAAGAATGATAACCCCGGTTTAGCTAAATTAATCAGAAGTGACAACCCCCTCCCCCAGTAATTTCAGGCAAAGATAAACTAGAATGAAGGAACACTGCTGAAAGAAGCAAAGACTCCTTATTTCCTCTCATTTGTTGATATTTTCTACTCCAAGAACAAAATTATAATTGTCCTATGCATTATTTTTATCCTTCACTGAAAAAACCCAGACTCCCCATGCACCATCTTCGTTGATGTCTCTTTCACAAGAGAGAAACGCTGATGTATTTGTTACATCAAACTAACAGGAGAAGCAAAAAAAGAACCTTAAAACAAGGCATTCCTAATTTTCTGAAAAGTTAAAAAAGCTCTGTAACACTTCCTCTTAAAAAGGAAGCATATTGGTACAATTAGAGGTCTAGAATAAATGTGTTATCAGGACACAAAGTATGTCACAATACCAGAATAAAGAATTCTACTTTGGTGCAAGTACAATATAACCGTATGGTTGCATTATTCACACCACTCTTCATCTTCTATTTAAATCCGTTTACGTATTTTCATGTTTGCTTTGGTATAAAGCACAGAAATTTTAAAAGTACTTGCAAAACTAGTAGTTTAGACAATAAGGAAAACCATATTGCATTATAAAACGCATGCTTCATTTGTCCGCTACTTTGTGTTATGCCTCGTGGTATGCGGCACAGTTACTATACCGTACCACTCAACACTCCCAATCCACACTGTAAATCACACACCACATCTCAAGAACTCAAATAATTTCTCTTTTTGGACACTGAACTGCTTTGAACAATTCTACACTATATAATCTGGTTTCCAGATCTAAAAACCAAAGTATTCAAAGACGCAGAATATTTTATAAAGAAATGGGACCCAGACAGTTTTTTCTTGAATGGCTTCGTGGCATAGTATTTCAAATCTTTCTCGGTGTGGTTTTTTTTTTTTCTTTCCAATTTGATTTCCAATTTGTTATTGGTATTTCCTGTACTTGGGTTGAACAGATCTTGAAGTCTAGAACTTTGAAGAATCACAAAGTGTGATTTGGAATTCAGAAACTCCAAACAATTTCTGCTTAAATGTACTGCTGCTTAATGCATAAACTGCAATCTCAAGAAACACTTCAGATACTTTAAAAACAAAAAAAAAAACCCCAAAACCCAAACGAACAAAACCAAGCAGCCTAATCTCCAGCGAAAAAGATGGACATTCTCTGCCAAGGTGCCCAAAAATCTTGAAGCATTCTGAGAGGCTGCTGAAGTTAAATTAAAAGTGTAGGCCAATGGAATAGGATAGAATGATGTGGAAGTGCTACAGTCTCTGTTATGAGCTGCCATTTTTTGTATTCTGCTAGTTGGGTGGATACCCCCCCCCCCTGCCACTAGCTCAGACAGCTGAAGAAAGGCAGTTCTGAACTCCAAATAAGGCCTCTAGGCTTGTGTGCAATTCTGATAATAACAATTTCTTCACTGCTAATTATCTGCAGTGCTCTAACATCCCATACAGCTCACACTGCTTAGAAGCAGTTTCAACTTCTATGAAGGTTTTTGAAGATCATAGTTCTTGTTTACCCAACTGTTCTTCATATACACAAAAAAATCCCTCAATTTTTGAAAAAAAGCTTTCCTACAATAAACATAGCCAACTTTTCAAGCTCTTCACTTTGAAAGTAAATCTTCTTTTCCACAAGGGAAATTGTCCAATGCTTGAATTTGACATTCACTGGCAGACAAAAAAAAAAAAAAAAACCCCAAAACTTCGGTCTCTTCAAATATTTGTATATTCAAATTATTTTATTTTACTTTTAATTATTTTAGAGAATCTAGGATTTGACACCACCTTTTTTTTTCCCCCCCACTTCTTGTCATTCGTCATGGATTTTGCCCTCTACAGGGAATTTTGACTACTATCTGTGAGAAAAAGTGTTAATTGAAATGTAATTAAATTGATTAAAAAATAATCAATTTAATTACCTCAATTTAAACATTTAAGAGAGAAATGCAAGTGTCTGTAGACTATACAATTGATGATTACACAGTAACAAGCATTTATTTGATTTGGGACACTATATATGTACATTACATTAGTATGTATTTAAAGCAATATATGGAAGTGAAATAGCGTAACAAATTCAGTGCGATGACCACACTGAGCAGTCAACAGAATTACACCGTTGCTCTCTGTTCTTAACTTTGTACTACTACATCACCTACTGCCATTAATATTTTTCAGTTTATCTTGGTATAGCTTAAATAACTTTGGATAAATAATTTTTACGAATTGCCCTGAATAATTTCCCATTTGTAGAAATCTCTTCTCGTAGCAGCACGTTTGTTTGTTTTAAATAGAAAATGCAATATGTACTACTTTGTCTAAAACAAAAAATATCAAGAGGATTCCAGAGCAGGTGTACTACCAGAAGTTACTTCTCCTTTAAGCGTCACCACCACCTGACTGACTAGACTTTAAACTGAATCTAGATGTATCTACTCTCAATTAAAGGAAGTCAATTTACTCAGACTGAAGTTTCCCAAAATGGACTCAAGTTTTATTACATGTAAATTGTATACTTCTAAGAATGTTTCTGCATGTTAACTAAATCCCCAAATCAAATTCCACCTTCAAGTTTTAGCCAGTACAAAGAGAGAAAATGTCCATTTCTATGCCATTCAAATTCCATAGCTTTATTTGGAAGGATAAATTGATCTGCCAATAGCCTCCTGCTGCCACGACTGGACTATTTACAGGATCCAGATCATCTTGAGT